AAAGGCGCAAGCCTATTTTTCCCTCAAATATACTGACTGACTGACTGAAATCAATTTTTCCGATTCGAAATTATTATGAGCGATGTAGCCGTTTAGGTCTATCATTTATGTTATAAACGGTGGTTTCGATCAAACGCTCTGATTGGATTTTGAGTAGGCAATGGCTGCCGGTTTTGCAGGTGGGCGAGTGAACCCACTTAGAGGCCCCTAGATTCCTTGAGAATGTGCTGTCTTTGCTGGGTTGTACTTATGTAAGGACAATGGGACTGCCATCATACCACATGTCTAGTTGCAACGTGTTTCACCTCCAGAGAGCTAGCTCGGCAGAGCTGCCAAATAGGGACGTATCTTACTGGAGAATTTAGTAAAGCTGGGTAAGAAGGTATTTTCTGTGCGGTATCCAGACATAGTTGAGAAGAAGAGCATTCAATATTTAGCAATAAGCATACCAGATGGGAATATGAGCTGAAAATCGTCTTTTTTTGCTGAGGTGACTGTATAAACAACCGGGTTTTCCCTTTGAGTGGTTTTGGCGAGGCAGTTTAAAATCAAATGAAAATAACTAACGCAACCACAGAAGAAAAGTTGAAGATGTAGACATTAAAGCAAGTGCTTAATGCACTCAGCGGCATAACCATGTACTCATGAAAAACTAGGATAGGTAGGCCTGTGTACCAAGCCAAACCCATGGTATAACGTAGCCACCATAGTATTGCACAGTCAGGGCATCGGTGACAGGTATTTGTACTCGTCAGACTCATAAACAAACCGTATTGTTGTATGCAGGTGCAAACCGCAAGTCCTGAAACACAAACTCATGCCATGTAGATCGGATGCACTGCCGCAGATAGGTGCGTGTTTGGCTTGGATTCGTTTTGAGATGAGCTGTTTGGAGGGAAACATGCCCGATGTTTAAAGGGAGAATGGGAATTTGGGGCAGCTGGAAGCGTCCGAAATTGTTACATTTACAACGAACAGCTAAATGGACAGTAGGCGAATGGTTAGTGTGCTCCCAGCTGGACGGTTAATCCTATTAGTTCTGCCTTGCGACTTTTGACTTGGTATCCATCCTGTATCGGTACGCTTTAACGGACACTTCAGCGATCCCTTCGCTTCACGCATTAACGAGCAACGAGGTATCACTCTATGAATCACAATGTTGGTCATAAAAACCAGCAATATGGTGAGCGGGCTTCAGATAAGTTGCTGGAACTATCATACTTCACGGATATTTTAGCAGGCGGCTCCACATCTCAGCTAGTGATCATTGGACGTTGTTGCTATAACGAACCATTTTAATAGAACCTCGGGATTCCCCTTATCTAATCGTTGGCGAAGACAGTCATGTACAAAGCAACTTAGTGTTAATGGGTACTACTGAAAATATCCCACTGCAAATGAATTCACCGCTTTCCAGTCTTATCGGGAGTTCTTGGAATACCGTTAGGGAAAATATGTTCCTAGAATACACGATTTCGATATTCCATAAATGTGTTAGCCAGACGCGATGAACTCTCATGTGTTTCAGGATGTACGTTAAGCGGTACTGGAGTTCCTCAAATGACCATTTCTCTGGGGGTTGTCACTGACCTTCGTAT